ATAATTTAATATATAAAAAAAAAAGAAACAATAATTTAATAAAAAAATTAAAATATAAAAAATAAATAATAATTTAATAACAAAAAAAGAAAATTTAATAACAAAAAAAAAACTAATCTTTTATAAATATATATATATATTATTAGTGTTGTTCTGGACATGAATATGGGAGACATAGACAGTCCATGGACATAGAGAGACTTTAATTTAGGTCAATTTTACAAATTTGCCAAAATGTGCTGAAAGTTTGATTCAAACCGATTCAATAGAAACTCTAATATGAAATTTAAGTTATATGACTTATATAATATATATATATAAATTAAATTTTAAAAACTTAGGCAATATCTAGGTTCTAAACCAATATAATATAAAGAATTAAAAAAAAAAATTAGAAATCTCAGACCTGTGTTCTAAAAGCTAATTTAAATATTTAAACCTAAGAATTAGCAAAAAATTAGAACTCAAACCCGAGCAACGCTGGGTCCTAAGAGCTAGTAATAACCTGATTTTAGCAGTCTTGGATTCAGGAGCTGCAGTTAGTATAATCTCGATAAAGTTGGCTAGGAAGCTTGGTCTAACTATAACGGAACCCTCAAACACCATAGTCATTATCGCAAATGGGACCCAAGAATGCACTTTGGAAAAATTGTTAGGAGTAAAACTGGCAGTACAAACAATTCTAATACCCACCGATTTCCAAGTAATAGAAAACCCGGAAGAGATGATGCTCCTTGAAATGGACTAGTTCCAAAAGGTGCGTGCCAGATTATACTTCGACACAAAAAAATTATCTCTACAGTATCTGGGAAAGCAAATAGAAGTTTCAATCTATCAGGCGAAAGAAGAAAAGGCTGAAACTCCCTCCAAAGAAAATGATGAAGATAATGATTTCTTCGACCTATATGAGGAAGAAAAAGACTTAGAAGAGATAGAGAGTTACTATACGGATGAAGCTAAGACGGATAAAACAAAATACAAACACTCAGAAGGCATCGATAGCCCCATTATATATTTGACAGACCTAGAGGAACTTCCAATGCCCAAAGAAAATAATTATGGCTCACTAGAACCAACCCCCAAGAAAATTATTGAGGGGTTAGTGCAATCCGAAGCACTAAGTGAAGAACAAAAAAAGAATGCTACACATATATTGCAAGAGTTCCAGAACCACTTTGCTGTTGGGCTACATCAATTGGGCTAGTACCACAAAATCCAACATGAAATCGACACCGGCAATAAAAAACCTGTTAGGCAATCCACCTACCGAATTGCCCTAGACGAGCAAGACTTTTTGAACCAAGAAATTAAAAAATTATTGGAAAACAAATTAATAGAAGAGATAAAGAGCCCTTGGGCTTCGCCAGTAGTTATAGTTCCCAAAAAGAATAGAAAACAAAGACTATGCACTGATTATAGAAGATTAAATACTATAACAAAAAAGGACGCCTTTCCGTTACCACGTATAGATGATCTCTTAGAGACATTTGGAAAGGCTGAATGGTTCTCTTCTCTCAATTTAGCCAGCAGATATTGGCAAATAAAGATGAAGACTGAAGATCGCGAAAAAACTACGTTCATAACGAAACAAGGCACTTATGCCTTCAATGTAATGCCCTTTGGCCTATGTAATGCTCCGGCCACTTTTCAAAGGGCTATAAACCATACCCTACATGACTATATAGGACACTACATGGAAGTATACTTAGATGATATAATCATCTATTCAAAAACCTTCCAAGATCACCTCAACCATCTTAAAAACGTCTTAACAACTTTGGCCGTAGCCGTGTTAAAGCTAAATCCAGATAAATATGAGTTATTTAAAAATAACATTGAATTTTTAGGTCATGAGGTAGGCAAAGCCAGAATTACTCCAGATGAAAACAAAGTAGCCCAGGTCAAAAACTTCCCTATTCTAGTTAACTTAAGGCAATTAAGAGGCTTTATAGGCCTAGCCTCTTATTATCGCCCCTTTATCAAGAATTTTACCACCATTGTGAAACCTTTACATCAATTATTAGAAAAAGGTGTACCTTACCTATGGGAATTAGCACAGCAACAAGCCTTCGAAACATTGAAGACCCACCTTATTACTGCCCCGATCCTAAAATACCCTAACTTTAAAAGGACATTTTACCTTTATACCGACGCGTCTAGTATTGAGTTAGGGGAAGTATTAGCCCAAAAGAATGAAAACAAGAAGAAGTATGCCATTGCTTATGCAAGCAAAAGTCTTACATGCCCAGAAAGAAATTATGCTGTCACAGAGCTAGAATGTTACGCTGTAGTTTGGGCGATTGAATATTTCCATATATAAACTCTTTATCATCGTCACGAACTATGCAGCATTAAGATAGCTTTACAATATCGCCCTGAAAGGAAGAAGAGCTAGATGGATTCTATGTCTTCAACCCTACAACTTCACTATCATGCATATCAGGAAGGGTGCATAACAATGCTGATGCATTATCACACATGGTTACAGACACGCCTATACAAGAAAATGACAACTACAAAACTGTTAGCTATTATCAAAAAGCAGCAGATATGAGAAATGCTGAAGAGAATCACCAGGCTAAATTTATACCTAAATTCCAAGAAACCAAACCCACTGAATTTGAAGAGGTGGAAGTCTTTAGGGCAATTGCCCAAGAATACTTCCCTGAAGAAATTGATAGAGAAACAGAAACTATCCCTAGGGACCTTAACACAGAAGAAAGTGAATGGGAAGATTATAGTACTGATGAATATGAAATTTGGGAATGTAAATTAGACAAAGAACTCACCACAAGTGAAATAGAGCATAAAAGGTATCTTCAGGACCTCTTAATTGAATTGGCTATAGAAGCTGAAATAGAAATTACGTGGTCCACTCAAAATGGTTACCAATATGAGCCTGTAAGCCATAGTAATCTTGAAAGTAACCCACAACCCATACTATTAAACGAAGCCTATCAAATTGACATACCCCTATGGGGAGAAATAGCAAGAGGGCTGGAATTCGAGAATAATGATGAGGAATAGAATAATATCACTTATTCTGGCTCCAACCAAATTTGAAGTGAAATCGATAATAGCAACTCATTTTTTAGATTTATGGATGCTAGTGGTAATTTTGAAGAATGGCCCCAAACATTTGACGAATTTATTGATTAGGAAGCCTATGATAGCATGTAAAGAATGAAAGAGAACAATGTACCTACTTTCATTCATTAGAAAACATTAAATATATAACTTATATCACATAATGAACATAGACCTTTTTGAACCTCTCAAAAGCAAAAACTACATTAGATTAGTACCCTATACTTATATGCCAGTTATGAAAAAAAAAAAAAAACTCCCAAATATCAAACCTGACAATAGAGAAAAGTTGGTCAGAATAGAGTAGGGCAAGTTGGGGCTCTATTCAAAGGACAGAAAAGACCAATATTATATATGTAAGGGCCAGAACGAATAGTAGTTATAAACTATTTCAGGAAGGAACATTGAAAACTAGATTAAAGACTATCTAAATGATGTATGCCAGCAAAATCGCTAAAGAAACATTACTGGGGCTAGAAAGCTAAGGAAAAGGACAGTATAATAATCGATAGAAAAGTAGAACTAACCAGAGTAATAACCAAACAAATTGGAATCACAAAATCCAGTAAAAAAAAGAGAATGACCCATACAGATTGGGTATTGTTATCAAAATGAAATCTGAGAAATTGACACTGAAAAATGCTTGGAATTAAATAATAACCGAAAAGAATCAAAGTAGAGTATTAGAAACAAAATTGGAATTAGTGGTATCATATCCACCAAATACAGTGGCCAAATTACAGAGTAAAATTAATAGACTAAGAAAGATACCACTTATCCAGAAGATACGTGAAAGAGATTTAAACCCGACTTTAAACTCAATACAGACCAGGTCATCGATATCCTGGCACAAATCAAAGATCTTCATTAACAAAACAAACAAAAAAATGGATCCACGATTATATGTGGCATTAACTGCATACTTACGCTATCAGCAGTATCCATCATACTATAATAGTCAACAATGAAAATGATTAAATAAGCAAAGTTGATTCTTTCAAATAAAAGATGGAAAGTTGTATAAAAAGAGCACTAAACGAAAGCATGTTCCAATAAAAGTTCCCCAAGAAGAAAAAATAAAACAAATACTAAGCCTGGCACATGACTATTCAACTGGAGCCCATTTTGAGAAAAATATAATGTTTAATAAAATTTGAAACTTCTATTACTGGCCTCAGATATATCATAACATATGCAAGTATGTCAAGACATGTGAGAGCTGTCAATTGCATGGAAAAAAGAAATCCAAGGAAATGCTACGCCCTATATTAGTCAAAGCCCTATTCCATAGAATAGGTATAGATATTGTCAGTCCATTACCTATAACGCCTCGATTCAATAAATACATAGTAGTCATAACTGACTATATGACTAAATAGCTCGAGGCGCATGCAATTCCAAGGGCTAATGCTAAGTAGGTGGCTAAGTTCATCTATGAAGAGATAGTATGCCGGCATGGATGCCCCAGCATTATACTATCTGACCAAGGATCCTATTTTAACAACCATGTGGTAAATGAGCTTCTCGCGATTATGAATACTGAACATCATAATTCTTCTCTGTATTACCCACAAACAAATGGGTTAGTTGAACGTTTTAACCAAACGTTATATAAGGCCATTGCTAGATTAGTGACAAACGTGACAAACTGGGACCTCATAATATCGCCAATTTTATTTGCTTACCATACGGCAAAGCAAGTCACAACCCATGAAACGCCCTTTTACTTGGTATATGGGAGGCAAGCCCAATTACCCCTGCATCCTAGTTCGTCTAACGATTTGTTAAACGAAATGATTATCCAAAGGCTGTATAAGATCGACAACGATCTCCCACAAGCCCGTGAAAGCGCATTACACCAAATCGGTAAGGAGCAACAAAAGCAAAAGGCATGTCATGATCGACAAGTCAAAGCCACAAATGACTTCAACATTGGTGACAAAGTGCTCATTTTCGAAGCCAGGAAATTGGACACCTGTGGCTATAAGCTAATGCCCAATTGGAAAGGGCCATACTATGTCTATACTAAACTCACAAAAGGTGCCTACAAATTAAGAGAATTAAGTGGGGAAGTTCTTGCAGTACTCCTTAATAAAACATTGCTTAAGCCCTATTATGAGTGAAAAATATAAATACTATGGAAAAAAAAGAAAGAAAAAGAAGAAGGCATTCAAAAAAAAAAAAAAGAAAAAGAAAAAGATATACATACAAAAAAAAAAAAAAAAAGAAGAAAGACAAAAAAAAAAAAAAGAAGACACATTTTTAAAAAAAAAAAAAAAAAGGGATACATTCAAAAAAAAAATAAATAATAATAACAAATTATTATATAATTTTTTTTTTAAGAAAAATAGGAAATATGACCTCCGTCCAGAGAATCCAATGGGATCAATGTAGTCTTGACCCTCTTGAAGTAGACCCAACGCCCTGTCTTGTGCCAGAAGAGACTGATCTCGATACAAAGATGGCTGTAATATTCTATCACCTTCTCAATACGGTACATGAGGGTGATAGAGTAGAAAGTCTTGTTTATGCCTATTATTTAGGCTCATACCTTAACCAAGTCCCCGTACCAAGGCAATGAACCATTAGAAGTGTTGCTATATGCCATTATCACATCGCTGCCTTTCGAATTTATCGGGCTTTCTTTTGTTATGGTGGTGTAGAGCAACTATACCGCACCACCTACACTACACTTAGCAGAATCCGACACCTGAGCGATACGGATTTTTGAAGCATCTGCTAAAACCACATCCTCATAGTACTCGAAATTAAAAAGGGGAACTGTGAGAGGCATATCTCACCTATATTATTATTATTAGATGATATTTCGCCCTATTCTATTTTTTTTCATATTATTTTACACTATGATATTATATATATATATTTTTTTTATTCTACTATTTTGTACTACCTAGGTCTCTTCCCTATATGGAAAAACTCATGCTATCCTAAACTTGATCCAAGGATCAAGTGTCCTTTTTAATTAGGCCATTATGGCATTTTGGTACTATTAGCTCATTTTGTACCAACTTATTAGTATATATCGTTTTTGAATGTAAAAATTGGTACTTCTCAGTACCATTCTTTGCCCTTGGTACCAAATTATATCATATTAATATCAAAAACTGCATCAGACCACCCAAGACGCAGTAATATAAAAAAGTATTTAAGCGAATTTTTGCAATTGAAATAAACTCAGTCTGCTTTGTGTGAAAGAAAAAAACTTATTTTGAGTTGAAGTTAATTGAGACCTTTGAAGTAATAGAAGTCAAGTGGTGACTTATTAAAAATTGTTACCTTTCGTCCATCATTTTTGAATTCCAAATCGCTAAAATAAATCCAGTGTTATACATACAGTCTAAGCCCTGATACTTGTAAAAACTTGAATTATAATAAACAAATAATACATAGAAAGAATTAGTAAAAGAATAATACCCATTAATCGCTTTATATAGAGAAAATACCCAAATTAGGTCTAAAACCTATTGTTACCAAAAATTATCCAACAATTAAAGGCTAGCCTGTAACCTCATTATTATTATATATTAATTGATTTGATCATCCCAAATTCCTGTGATATACTAAACCCGTAATACAATAATTAATTGAAAATCCAATCTCCGTCGATAATTCTACCCGTGACATAGAAATTAATCATCGATTTAAGCCAAACTTTGAATTACTGATCAACTAAATACTTGTGACTACGTAACCGTGACCCGAAACTAGTAGCATATTCGAAAGAAAGAATAAGATAATTAGTATTGAGATATTTGAAATACACAAAGATAACAATAAGCTCATAGTAAAGACAAGGACACTTAAATACTTCCCGAAGATATCATCATAAGGTCAAAGCTTCAAGAACTCGAACCAAGTTTCTCCACGCCTCTTTATGAAGCCTGCCACCTTGAACTTTCAATCTTATCAATACTTGGGAGTAGTGTAGTTTGTTAGATTAGTTAGTTTAGTCGTTAGTTAGATTAGTTAGAATAGATTAAAACCTGTATTATCCAATTTTATCAAATTCCGGTTAAACTTGACCCTTCTCAGTGTACAGTTTCTATTTTACAAGTATAAAGTAAGTATAATACTATACAGTACTGTATATATAAAAATCATTATTAAATTTAATTTAATACAAACTTGTAAAAATAAAGTCGCTACATTGCTTGTAGACTTATTACTTGATACAGATTATTTTTTTCCATCAGAGTTAATGTATACATTACTGTATTATCAGAATCATATTGAGTTTCAGCCATAAGATTCACACCACAAATTTTGATACTAATTAAATAATCATTAGGAATTAAATAACCACATCTTTGTGTTTGTTTAACATTTGATAGATAGTAACCAAGACGAAAGATTTTGTAAAGATATTTGTTTTTTTTATTTCCATTAAATCACGTTATATAAATGTTCAGGTAATCATCAAGGAATTGGGTTGTATACTTTGTTGTTGTTGAATTTCCCTAAGAGGATGACATGCTAAAAACCGATTTTGTAAGTCTTATGTTGGTGAATAATGAAATAAATAAATAAATACTTTAAGTCTTACCAGGCAGCATTTTAATTTAAATTCCTAGGTGTTTTTAACAAACACTTTTAACTACACTGCTAGCAATACGACTTCAAATGTTTAACAGAAGGTAGTAAAATCTAGCTTGCTGTTTGGTTGTTTTATAGTGCTAGGTCGTTTTGGTTTCTTCACTTATACTGTTTGATCATAAAGGTAAAATGTTTATTACTATGTATTAAAGAAATAAGAAAGGTAAAATATATTATCAGTTATTTATTATTATATACACTTCGAATTAATTATGTTGGTTAAAATTCTACATCTAATTTTATTAGTAAAACACAATTCTAACTAACTTCAACTCATTTTCCAACTTTTAATTTTGGCCAGAAGATAAATCACTTTATCGAAGATTTTAAATAACGCTATTCGAAAATATCACACAAGCCATCTGATTGGTGAGTTTTGTTATTCAATTTTTGAAAATCTTAATCACATTATTTGCAAATATCACGCAAATAAGCCCTGATCAGCCCATATGACAACCCTAAGTACGGCTACCATAATAACACTCATGAGCGTTATTTGAAAATCGTGTCCTCTAAAAATAATATATAGTTTCAAAATAATGCTCATGCGCATTCCAAAATAGGTGCACCCCATAGTAAGGATGCTTATTTATATTAGGATTTAAAAATACTTCGAAACTGGATTTAATACTAAGCAAACCTTCGAACTTCAACAAAAGTTGTTTTTCAGATCAACTTTTATTAAAGCTCGAAGAAAGGTTACTTAATACTAAATCTAGTATTTTTGTTTGTTTACTTTTATACAAGAATTATATAAAATTTGTTAATTGTCTCAAAATAACGCTTATGCATGTACTCGAAATAACGCGCATATACTCAAAATAACATGCAGGTGAGCATTATTACACAAAAATATGGTATATGCAGTCTGTGGCTAAAATAAATTAATTCTATCTAATATATTTAAAATAATATTATTTTTGGTGAATATTGTTCTGTTTTCATATTTGAAGCTTTATTATTTATTTTTCGTATATTATAAATAAATAAATAAACAAAAATACATGCTATGCTATGAAAACACAATAGCAATAGTAAAAAAGAAAATTTCATAATAAATTATTTGACCCTAGATCTGTCTAGTTACTATCCTTTATGGCGATGCTAGAGACATTTTCTATTGGATAAAAATTTAAGTGATTGCAGAAAAATTCGGACTATGGCTTAAATTTGTTAAAGATAAAATTCTAGTATTAAAATTAGATAATTTGCTTTAATTGTCTTACACAAATAAGTTTATTATAAATAAAGGTACACATTTCTGGACACATAATGGTAATTTAAAAATGAAAGCATTGCCAAAGCCTGTGTAATGCAAGCTTTCTTATAATTAACAAATTCAAATCCAGAACTAGAAATTTGAATTTTAGTTGATTATGCAATTTTGAAAGTTCTTAGTCCGTTTGTATAAAAAGTTCGCAAGGATTATTTTTAACAAGAATGTTATCACATACTCTTCTGTATTATTTCACTAACAATCGCTTCACAGACAGCTTAGTTTACCGACAATTAATTCAAAGACAAGTTCGTTTCACCAACAATTAACTTACCACAAGTTCATTTTGCCAACAATTATTTCACCAACAGCTGTTTCACCGACAAGTATTTTTTATAAATTACACTAACCTTAACTCTAATTCTAACTGATGCTAACAACAATGACCAGAATTACCTTGTTGGTAAAGTGTTGTTAGTGAAAAATAATTGTCGGTGAAATGAACTTGTCGGTAAGTTAATTGTTGGTGAAATGAACTTGCCTGTGAATTAATTGCCGGTAAACTAAGCTTTCAGTGAAGTGATTGTCAGCGAAATGTGCACCACTCCTTCTGATAATAGTATGTAAAGTTTTTCTCTTTCACTTCATATTAATACTATTTGAGTTTTTAAATCTGTACTATATCTATAGAATGATTTTTATAAACTTTATGTCCAAAGTTTCAAATATTTTGTCAAATAGTTCAAGAATCAATAATCTGCGACAACAGAAAGAACAGACCAAGTTTTCATACGTATGTTGTTATATTGGTTAGTGATTCAAGCTAATTAAATTTTTATGGCCAGGCTAAGCCAGCCATTATGGCTTAGCGGCTTAGCTAATAGCTTATATTATATCAATATTGAATCATAGAATGTCCATATCCCTTAAACCATCTAGTATACAAATTTGTATGCTAAAATGATTTTTGACTAATTTTTGTGCATTTACTCTAAATTTTATTAAGCCACACCCCCCCATTTTCTAAGCTAAAATAAAAGTACATCATGTCCTAATTACTATATAATTCTTATTTCATAAAAATTTTTTATCAATACTCCAAAAATTGGTTGTTTAGTGTTGACCGTAATAGGATCTTTGTGCCCAAATTTAATACTAAAAAAGGCAATTTCACGTGACACCTATAGAGATTTTTTACAATCGCTATGCAGAGGTCTCTTTATAATATAACTTTAAAGTTGATCAAGGATTTTTCATGATCAACTTCTTATAATTGATTTTTGAGGTGATGTTAAAGAGATAATATGGCTCAAAAGTATGGGTAAAATGACCTATTTTTTAGCCATCATATAAGTTTGTACCTTCCAATCAGGTTACATAGAGTATTTCACACCGCAGCTGCAGGTGTGCCATGTAACTCGGGTCTTGAAGAATCATCACGACCAATTAGAATAAATATTTTATAAAAAAAATAATTTTTCAAGCCCAATTTTCTTCAAAATATTTTAGCGTACAAATTTGTACGCTAAACCTGACGGTTTAAGGGATAGTACCTCATTCAAAATAAGTAGCTTTTTAGATTCGGGTTTACTTTAAAAATCCCGACTATTTTTATACTATCGAATTTTAAATTACAAATTAAATTCTTGGAAACAAATAAAGTATTCAATCGAATAGAGATTTGTTACCAAATCTTATATATGTTATACGTTAAATTGAAATTTGTGTCAGATCAAATTTTCAAAACTGAGTTTAATTAGGGTTAGGGTAAAACCCTATGTTGGGTAATTTATTAGTGGCATTATAATTATTTTGATCTAATGCAAATTTTTTAATTCGACGTATAACAATAACAGAAATTTAAGTTTGGTAATAGGTTTTGAATTTTGTAATTACTACATCAGCCGTTATTAGCCGGCTGATTAGACTATCAACTAGCTAAGTGGCTAACTTAATTGGCTTGGAACACTACTATTAATAAAGTTGTTTTTTTTTTTGATTTAATTTTTACTCTATTTTAAAATAATAAAGTCGAAAGGCTTAAAACAATTAATCAGAACTTAATAAAATTAGGAATTAATTTGAACTACCTGGAACTTAGGAAGATAAAATTATTGATTCATTAGGCATAAAAAAAAAAAAAAAGCTTTCAAAAAAGCAATTATGTTGTGCATCAAATTAAATTTTGCATCAGGTCAAAATAATTATAATGTCACTAATACCTATCCTTACCCTAATAAAACCCAGTATTAAAATTTTGGATACGTATTATTTCATCGACAATCACTTCACAGACAGCTTAGTTCACCGACTTTCGCCGACAATTGTTTCACTGACAGCTTATTTCACCGACAAGTATTATTTATAAATTACTCTAACCTTAACTCTAATTCTAACCTGACACTAACAACAATGACTGTTGGTGAAATAAACTTCTCTGTGAATTAATTGTTGGTGAACTAAGCTATCAGTGAAGTGATTGTCAGCGAAATGCGCACCACCCGAAATTTTGATCTAACGAAAATTTCAATTTGACGTATGCACGTACGTACAACATAAATAAAAGTTTTCTAAGAAATCATTCTAAGAAATCATTCTAAGAAATCATTCTAAGAAATCATTCTAAGAAATCATTCTAAGAAATCATTCTAAGAAATAATTCTAAGAAATAATTCTAAGAAATCATTCTAAGAAATCATTGTACTCAAACAACACAAACAGATAAGCACATACGTACGCGCGTACAGTACATATCTGCCTTTTATATTCTGGCAGTTAAATATATATGTATGTACTTCTTTTCTTATCATAACAAAATTTATAAGTTTAAATTAATAAACAATCATTACAAGTTTGGCTAGACTGGGATGGTGTTTTATATACTGGCGGTTAAAATATATATATGGTATTCTGTGTTTATCGTTATTTACATAAATTTATAAGTTTAAATTAAAAAACTGTCACAAATTTTGGATGGTGTTTTATATCCTGACAGTTAAAATTATATATATGCGGTACTTCTGTATTTATAATTATTTACATAAAAGGTTAAATTAATAACCCGCCAAAAGTTTTGGCTAGATTGGGTTGGTGTTTATTTGTGCTAAATACCAATAGGGTACTTTGGAAAATATTTAAAAAATATTCTACAACTTGCTCCATTCGAGTTTTTTCTTTTTTTTTAAATGCCAAAGAAAAAAAAAACAAAAAAGTAGAACGAATGAGTTTATGATTGTCTGTTATGAAATAGTAATATTAAATTTGCATTGAGCCTATATTTGTTAAAAAAGAGTCATAATTTTGAACACTATGCATCTTTGTTTGATTTAATACTGGAAATAAATAAAGTTAAGGTTAGAACTTTAAGGTTAAGACAGATTGTATATTAAAAATTTTCAAGAACTCATTTTGGAAAAGCATTTTAATGAGCAAAATTACGATAACAAGCATTTCCTTCAAAATATGATGTTACAAATATTTGATCTTCGTATAATTCCTTTTTCGAAGATGTAAAACAAAATATCACATGTTTTGTAACAGATTACTTAAACCATTTCAACCACTTTTCTATAAAAATTCAAGTCATTGTTATACAAATTTACGTTTTAACTGTTCAAAATTTTAGGAATATTAAATAATGAATGTAAAACATCTTTATTTATCTTATTAAACAAAGCTTGCATACCATAAAGATTTTGCCATAAGATTTTGTCACCAGAGGCATTGCAATAAAATTAATCGAATATTGTTATTACAAGATTTTGCCATAGGATTTTGCCGTCAAAAATATCGAAATAAAATTTTGTCGATTAATATATATTTTTTAAAGTCGATAAATTATTGAATTAATGCAAATGAAATGATGTTTTAAAGGTACTGGGTAATGGGAAATAAGGGATTTTCTCGATTAGAATGATGCCTATGCCAGATATCACCATAATTAATCTTGCCAATTTTTTACAAATATATAAACGTATATATATATATAATTAAAATTATTGAAAATTTAATAATTGGCCATTATAAAATGCATTAATATGAATGATTCGGTTAAAGAATATAATATCGTCAGATATAACAATATTGTTATTAGTATTATTTACCAAGTTTGTGATAGGATTATCATTAAAAATATCGCTCAATTCATTAGCAGTCGGTCGTCTATTTGGGTCTTGATCCCAACATCTTTCCATTAATTCTTTATATGCTTCTGGAGTATTATTATTAATAATTTCTGGGCGTAATTCATCATCACATATACTTGTAGCAAGACCAAGATCATGCGAATCTTGGCTAAAAGGATGCGTGCATGAAGATAATGTCCACATAATTATCCCAAAGCTATATATATCTGAGGCTTGTGTATATTCATCACCCTTTAGTACTTCTGGGGCTACATAAGGTAAGACTCCGTAGATTACCGCAGCCGTTCTATTAACTGGTCCGTGTAATCCGATATCGGAAATTTTTATACTGACACTTCCAGGCCTATTTTCAATTAACAAGTTTCCACCGTGAAGATTGCCATGATAAAGTCCATTATTATGAATTCGTCTAAGACCTCCAACAATTTCACGAAGAATTTCAACAATCTCTCCCCAGCGAATATATCCTCTAACTCTATCAATGTATTGATATAAATTTTCTTCACCAATCTCCATTACGAACATATAGCAACCAATTGGATCAGCTGGATCACGTGTAATTCCAAAGCAGTCGACAAAAAAACTTCCTCGAAAGCATTGACTATATCTCATAACCTATATAAAGAATAAAATAATATTGAATATTTGGGGGGTTTTTTTTTTTGACATATAGGAAAAACTTACATTATTTAAATACTCTTGACTCATCTGATCAAAATTTTCTACTCTTTTTAACGCACACTTAGTCGGACCCATTCTAAGCCAATCACCATTTGTTTCGTCACATTGTCTAGGACCTTCTAACCATAGTCCACTATAGATGATACTGGAGGGGCCTCTTGTTTTATATTCTAGCATATCAATATCTTCAAACGGAATCCATTCAAGGTGAATCCCATTATTACTTGCATGAATAGATTCAATCATTCGGTCAATCGTTGTGCTACCACTTGACCATTTCTGTCGATTGAAAGCTTCAGTTTCACATCTTATCTGTTCTCCACAAACTAAACATGATGCCATTCTCTGAAGGATTGATTTTTTAAAGGTACCAATAACACTATTTATACACTTGTGTATACACGGTTATTAATTTATTAATTTACAAATACATATAATTAAAGAATTAAAGACTAAAAATTAAACTCGGTTTAAAGTTAGTTTTATTGTTGTAAAGAGTTGTAGTTTATGTTAAAATTTTGCAAGGGGTATATTTTTGTTAGAGCCCAAAGTGTTTTATAATTATTAAGGATGTGTATATACACAGTGTATAAATAGTATTTGCCTTTATTTATTTTATTTTTTATTTGAGTTTGCTTTCTTATATTTTTTTTTTCGAAAGCAGAATTATTTTTTTTCGAAAGCAGAATAATTCTCTTTATATACTGTATTATAAAGGAATCGTATATTACAATTATGAACATATTGTATATTTAACGCGTACGTATATAAGTATAATATATGCTAAATGTTTCTTCTAGTAATTTTTTACAGTAAACCACTAATAAGAATGTAAAAAAAGTACCCGGTTCAAATTTCCCCAAAGAAAATTTTTTTTAAAGCAATTATGCCAAATATTATTAGTAAACACTATCCATTCTCGTATATGTTTTTTCGATAAAACTTTTCTAATAATTGATAAAAAAATTTCCGTTCACCCCACACCAATAAAAGCATCGAAATTTCTGTATCGAAATTGTACGTACGTCATAGCCATAATACGCCATCGTAGTGAATATAATCAGCTGTCATAAATTGGTCGACAAAAGGAAAGTTATAAAGTTATATGTATTATACAATTAAGTTTAGGTTGAGGCAATAAAGGCGGGGAACTAAAAAATAAACATTCCGAATATTAATTAACGGTTATACAATATGTAACCTAAAAATTTAATGTAATATTAAATGTAATATAATGTCACAGTATTCTATGTTGAAAAAATAAAATTTATTAAGGCGCAGATTAATATATACTAATTTTACTAATTACGAGTGTCTATCAATTTTATTCTATTTTTAGTAATAAAGAAGGAAAGAAAAAACTTCAAAAACGACAAAGTAATTCTGCTATTCTAAAGTTCAAGTAGAATAAATGGTTTTCATTACTCAAGATTTTAAATTATTGTGACGAAAATCAAGTAGATCTGAAATACAGAAAATGGTTACGCAATGACGTTTCAAAGAATTATCAAGATGTTATACAGAAATATCAATAAGTGGTTGCAAAAATATACATATAAAGAAGGATTTCTTATCCCGTAAATAATGTGCAGTAAGAACAATGACCTTACGTTCATTAATCCCCAATTATACATGTACAATAATTAATAATCGAAATGACGTTCAAGATATTATGGAATCATCCAAATTGCTAAAACTCCGAGCGATCGTAACACTATCTAATTTTGATCCAGTAAATCCAATTTATCGGAACCTGATTTAATTCGGATATTTAAAATCGAGAATTTTTTTATTATTCCAAAGATTCAGGTTCTATTATAAATAATAGTTTGTTGAAAAATTTGTTTCTTCAAAATATAATAAACTTTTATTAAATATATAAAGAAAAAAAAATCAAATTTTTACGTACAGTACGCATATACATATTTATTAAATTACGGATTAATATTACGGAATTCGTATCTCCGAATAATCAAGATTGTGTTACAATACTGTATCAATTGTTTTTCAATAATAATGTGAAAATCATAAAAGATCTAGAACCATGAATTGCATAGTAAATATAATCACAAACATTTGATGTTGTGGAAGGATGTAGTACTGGACAATACGCCAAGAATTTTGTTAAGTTTGATCGTTTTAATTTACAAAGTCAAATAATTTTTGTCTTGTTACATTATATAATGTCATGTTTCTGCTGTATGCGGTTTAAATGAGATCCTACAAAGCATTAATTTCATATAATAATATTTTATAGGTTTAAAATTTAATATAGTAAACCGCATTCGGAATATATTAGAATTATGAAAAAAAAAACCTTGAATCAACTATTATTGTATATTACAGAAACCCCTGCATATACTGTAATTCTTATCGTTATTGAAGTGGCCTATTTTGTAATTGATCGTTATTGTTTGTTTTGTTTAAGCCAATTTGATTTTGGGTCTTATAGTAGAGAAAGTTTTTTCCGAATAAGTAGTCTAGACTATAAAAGTAATGTAGTATTTGACGTAATGTGTTTTGTGAAATAGCTATCTCAATACAATATAAAAAGTCGTCAACCCCAGTTTTTAATATGAACAATAAAAGATGTTTGTACGTACGTACTCTAATCTAGGCTAGTCTTTAATTTAATGAGCAGAGTTATCTATGAATAAATTCATTGAAATAAATAGAAAACTTGGTAAAAAAAAAAAAGTAAACTCGAAACTTCATTAATAATGAATGTTCACTATTATATTGTGATTAGATACATTGATAACGATATGTTAAATGGCTTGTGTGAAACTTCATAAATACTAATTTAGCCTGATAATATGAAAAAGATTACATACACATACGCATGTGCTTATGTACTGCCAATAACTCATGAAAAAAAACCGCCTATCATAAGTTATATTAGATGGATTAATATTAATTCTAAATGTTAAAAGAACGCCACCGGCGTCTGGGGGTGGTGTTCCCTGGTTAAAATTGAAAAAAAAGGTAAAAGGAATGAATTAAAAACAAGTTAAACGCTTGATATGCGTTGGGTATTCTTTGAATATGCTCGTATAATGCATTAATGCATTACAATTCATAACAACTTTAAATAATTCATAATCAAGTGTGTACATTATAACAGTAATTATTTTCTTTTTAATAGTATAACAAGTGTTATACGCCAAATAATGTTACGGGGTATTTCGTATATTCATAATCAACAATCAGTTTGATAACAAACATATGGCAAGATACATAATAAAAATCATTATTGAAGATTTTTTTAAGCGATTTTTGAAAATTTCAAAAATGCTTTCGCGTAAACTTTGATAACTTTTGTTATATTGTTTTTTTTTTTAATTCTGCGAGTAGATATTTATTCTTTAAGAGTCTCTATCAAGTAATAACCGCATATTTTTAAATATTTATACTTTTGTTAAAGTATCATAAAAATTTCTTATAATTTCTATATACATTATAATAAAGAAATCAATTCCAAAAAAAAATCTTCACTGATGATTTTTATTATGCGTATGTCTTGCTCTAAGTTTGTGATTAAACTGGTTGTTGACACTCTAATAATCTATACTATAAAATATAGACTTTATGTGATATAACCAAAGACGTAACGTTGGTGATTTGGTTCATATAATATAAGGGAATTATTATCGGGTTAGTGAGCTTATGTGCCCCTTCCTCGCACATAAGTGTCGTAACCAACCTTTACCAAGTTACGTCTTTTTTACGTATAACTTAAAGGACTAATGAGTCTTAAACGTAACTCACCTTATTGTATAGTGGCTTATTCCCGATGAACTCTATAAATTATCTAAGCCTTAGAGCTAGTCTATGATGCCATTTTACCCCGTGACAATAGACTCAATTAAGCTCATGAGATTTATTTGTTATAAAAGAAAAGAAAATAAATCTGTTATTGGATACACCACATCCCAATAACATCGTATCTGGCTTTTATTTGACAACATGAGCCCCTTCGGGGCCCAGGTTAGCACATTAAATCCAACTTTTATGATCATCCCGTGATCCGAAGGATTACGGTATTCTCATTTCTTCTGTAGCATCCAATAATGGTGTTATCCGATAATTTATGATCATGATCGGTAGGGAGTCACCCGCTGAGTTTGTTTTTTTTTGAATATTGGAAAATCATAATTACATCGTAACACATGAAAAAATAACAGAAAGAAAGTTTTTCATGATCATTCGGATAACTATTTATTATCCGACAAACTCATATGATCATGAAAAACTTTCTTTTTGTTATTTTTATTCATGTGTTACGATGTAATTATGTTTTTCCAATATTCAAAAAAAAAAAAACTCAGTGAGTGACTCCCTGCCAAATGATCATAAATTGTCGGATAACACCATTATTGGGCAAATTTGTGAATAACGGCAATTTGTCTCAACTGGGACAAATGATTGTCTGACATATGCCGCTTCGCGGCACTTGTCAGCCAATCATTTGCCCGGTTGAGCCAAATTGCCGTTATTCACAAATTTTTGCCCAATAATGTATACTTATTCATAATAATTTATTTTCAGTGATTTGGCGAACAACTCTATAAATTATAAGATACGGTGTACAATTTAAATTTAAATTTAGGATTTCGGGTAATACTGTTACATTTCACAATTATTCGTTAATGAACTTGCGAAAAATTGCACAATTTTGTTCAATATGAAGTTTTCAATCCAACACAATAAAATTTTAACCAAGCTCATTTTATTTAATTCTAATAACTAGCCTTTTAGATATCTGTTTACATAAGCTGAAATTATTCAATTCAGGCTTTAAGTTATAAGCATATAAAAAGCTTCACAATACAATTAGTACCGTATCGTAAATAGGTAATATAAAATGTAGTTATAAGAATAAATATGAAAAAAATAACGTTGAATATACAGTAAAAAGACAAAATTGCCTTACAGAAATAGTGCAATTAAAATATATACTATAATATATATATATAGCTTTGCGACATATTGCTGTATATAAATTTTGAATTAGCGCAAATAAATCAACTTATGTTGATTCTAAATCCAATAAGGGATTAGGTATAGTATAGATGACGCCTACTTTAAATCAATTGATTATTTATTAAGGTGTCACCTATACTATATTTAATCCGAAAATTCACGTTGAGAGCTTTTTGTTAAGTCTAGTACGTACTAAACAGAGTGATTCACAAATATATCAGATATTAATAAGGTGGGTGGGTGGAGTGATATATAATGCCAGGATTACATAATAGCATCTGGTATTCGGTAATCGTATACGCTTATAAAGTATATATAATTATATCTTGGTCATCATATCAAGATCGCAGCGTATAAATCAATTATACCCTGGGTCAGTGTTGTCATTGGATATGCTTGGATAAAACCTTGGACATGTTACACAAAAAATAAAATGGTAATACCTCAAAAATTTTAATTTATTTTAGTTTGTATATCGATATGTGCTTAGGATTTTTGGGTTTGGACGTTGCAAAAAGGGCTTGGTACAACATTGGACCCGGGTACTCTGTATATAAGCGGAAATGAAATACCCGACTACCCTAACACCAGGTAATTTGTAACGGTAGTCTTACCATAAAAAGAGTTACTTGGCAAATGTTTTGACGATCTTTGACTGTGTTAATTATTAATACAGTAATAAACCGCTGTTTAGATATTTTAAAGAATATTACAACAAATTTATTAAAGTCAAAATTTGCTTCATTCTTTTAAGCCAGTAGAAAGAAATTGAGAATTTTAAATTTTGCATTCACACTATATTTTGTAAAAAAAAAAAAAAAGAATCAGAAAAATTATAATTTTAATGCATCTTTTTTTTTTGATTTAATATAGAAAAAAATAAAGTTAAGGTTAGAACTTTAAGGTGAGGACAAATCTTATGTTTAAAAAGCATTTTCTTCAAAATACTTGATCTTCATATAACATTACTCCTTTTTTGAAGGTCAAGTGTTACTAGCTAAGAAAGCCTTATTGCACGGGTCTTATCGTCATGTGACAACCCGTGCTTTTTTCATTTACTTTTGTGGACACGGGATTGTTACGTCAGACACCGTGCAATAACTATAGATATAATAAAATACCCCTTGATAATAGACCCTCTCTATTATACTCAGGTCTAATCCAGGGTTAAGAATTTATGGAATGTAAGTGACCAAGGGTTTATTGAAGAAGAAATCAACCCATTACTATACACTCCTTCAAGTAATATGCCCTTGAGTATAATTCAAGTTTTTTAACTGGTGGGATGTAACATACTCGGTTCGTGTATATGACTATTTAAGGTTTCATTAATCACAATAAAATTAAAGTTATATAAATTTTAAATTTTAACCTTAGTTTGTTTACAATCCCGACATTTTACAATTTACACAGCTTCTTCAACAATAATTAATAAACCTATCTTTTAAAGTCTTTTTGTTCATGTAAAACAAATATTGCATATATTGTAACAGATTATTTAAATCGTTGTTACTACTTACGCTGCACCTTAATTTTTATATGGTCTCCTGTAACTATCATTTCCCTTATTATATTCCTTATTGATATCAGTTCACCTGTTCCTTCGTACATATTAATAATTACCCGAACCATCACTGATTATCTTGTGATTGTACCACCGGGATATTATTTAACCGGCTGATTGACAAATCTTATTTTAGCTACTGATAGTATTTCTTAATCGAACCACAATTTAAAGGATGTCACGAGGTTATTGTAGTGAGTCAATATTTGGGAAGGAAGTCACGTAACTGTCATTGTGTTTAGGAAGTAAGGACCTATTGGTATTAATGAAGGGATAGTAGGAATTGTGAGTGGTGTTTAAATTGTATTGTGTACAATTTTTTCCCGGTGGTTTTTTAAAAGGGAATTCATTTCACGCGTCTAGTCTTAGCGGCGACTTTTACATGTATACAAGGCCTTCCCATTCGCCTTGGTCGAAGGTTACACTTATGAATGTGCGATTCATATCTTAAAATGTCATTATCTAAATTTCATGCTATATGCTACATATTGTTTGTTATTGCGATAACTAATTGCATTATTTATAATTTTATATTAGTGTACACATCCCTGTTATATCAGAGTTAAACTGGTTTAGTGTAAGGACAGCTCTCCCCGATAGTAACACTATTTCCCAACCCCTTCTATAACAATTCAAAAAATTTTCTACAAATTTACGTTTAATTGCTCTTATTTATTTTATTATGTAAAGCTTACATATAAATTTTTGCCAAAAAATTTGCCATAGGGTTTTGCCGTAAGATTTTGCCAAAATATCACCATAAACAATTAATTATGTAATTTACGAAACATATATATATATAAATAAAATGTATAATTAATTACCATGCAAAGATGGAAAACTTAACAATCGACTATTATAACTTGCATTAAAATTAATGAATTGTCTAAAAATTACATTATCATATATAACCCTATTGTTATTAGTATTGTTTAATAAATTTGAGATAGGATTGTTATGAAAAATATCGCTTAATTCGGAAGCTTCCGGTCTTTCATTTGGGTCTTGATGCCAGCATCTTTCCATTAATTCTAAATATGCTTCTGGTGTATTATTATTTTTAATTTCTGGACGTGATCCATCACATATATTTTTAGCAAGATCATGGTCATGCGAAACTTGTTCAAAAGGACGCATACATGTAGATAACGTCCACATAATTATTCCAAAGCTATATATATCTGAAGCTTGTGTATATTCATTACCTTTTAATACTTCTGGAGCTACATAAGGTAAAACTCCGTAGAATTTCGAGGCTATTTTGTTAGTTGGACCATATAATCCTATATCAGAAATTCTTATACTGGCGCCTCCAGGTCCATTTTCGATTAACAAGTTTCCACCGTGAAGATTACCATGATAAAGTCCATCATCATGAATTCGTCTAAGACCATCAATAATTTCACGAAGAATTTCAACAATCTCTCCCCAGAGAATATTTCCCCTAACTCTATCAATGTATTGGTATAAATTATCTTCGCAAAGCCTCATTACGAACATATAGCAATCAGTTGGATCAGCTGGATTTCGTGTGACTCCAAAGCAATCAACAACATAACTTCCTCGAAAGCATTGACGATATCTAACAATCTATATAAAATAATATTAATATTGAATGAGTATTTAATTTTTTTTTTTTTTTGAATATATTTGTAGCCATACTATTAAAATGATTTTTTTTTATAAAATTTATAACCAGATTAAGATTAGGGTTTAGGGTTAGGGTAGGGTAAAATTGCGAGAAGAGCATTTTTACTTAATAACACAACAGGGTTACCCTAGTAAAATTTGAGTTATCAAGGAAATTATAGAATGCAGTTATAGATAACCATGGCTACAAAATATATTAATCTTTTTTTTTTTTTTTGCTTCAAAAACTTACATTGTCTAAATACTCTTGGCTCTTTTGATCAAAACTTTCTATCCTTTTTAATGCACATCTTGTCGGACCATTTCTAAGCAAATCGCCATTTTCTTCGTCCAAATTCTGTCTAGGACCTTCTAACCATACACCACTATAGACGGTACTATGGGTGCCTCTTGATAGATGTTCTATCATCTCAAAATTTTCAAATGGAACCCATTCAAGATAACTTACGTCATTATTTGCATGACGTTGCGTATATTCAATCATTCGATCTATCATTGTGTTACCACTTGTCCATTTATGAAAATCTCGTATGAAAGCTTCAATTTCGCATACTTTACACCACAAACGATCACGTAGTTGTTCACATTCAGAACATCTACCAGAAGCCATTCTCCGATTCTCCGAAGGACTAATTTTAAGGATGTTAATAATGTTAAAAAATTATTATTCGTGCTTGTCTTTGAAAAAAATAAAATAAAAATAAAATAATATATCATATATATATATATAGCATATACTTACATGAAATATTTGCGAAGCTCCGTTTTTCTATTTAATGCTTTGTATTTTTATTTTTTTACTTTTTTTTAATTTTTTTTATTTTTATTTTTTTTGAAAGCAGAATTATTCCCATTATTTATAAATAACTCATATATAACAATTATGATCGTTCGATATATTTAACTATTTAACGCGTACAGTACGTATATAAGTATACTACGCATACAATTATATGCTAATATTTCTTTGAGTAAAAAAATATTTTTTAAAGCAATTATGTTAAATATTATTTGTAATCACTTATCCATTCTCATACATGTTTTTCGGTGAAATTTTTCTAACATGTGATACGTAATCCCCGCTTAACTCCACACCTATAAGAAGTAACGAAATTCTGTTTCGAATTTATGAAACAACACAACAAGATGATTATGTTACAATAGCATTAATATTTTATAGCAATAATTTTAAACTTCAACAAAGAAGTTTAAAAAAAATTACGTATGATGATATTACTGTATTATGTAATACTGTATACTCAATATATTGCGCAAAATTAAATTTAGGTTTAGATTGAGGCTAAAAGGCGGGAACTCAAAAAATAAACATGATAAATAAATTTTATTAGGGCGCAACTTAGTGCTAATTACAGTGTCTATCAAGTTTATCCTACTTTCAGTAGTTGAAGATTTAAGTAATAGGTTGACAATAAGGAGCGGACTTATTAGGTAGGAAAGAAAAAAAACTTCAAAATGACAAAGTAATTCTTCTATTCTAAAGATCAAGTTGAATAAACGTTCTTCATTACTCAATTACCTGGCGTCAAGATTTTAAACTACAATGATGGAGAGAAATGGTTACGCATAACGTTTCAAAAACTTATCAAGAAGTTACACAAGTTTTCTGCAAGGTGACTCGCCAGGATATCGGTTCACATTGAAGTACCAAATGGCATGTGAAAAGAAATGTTGATGTGTAATGTGAAAATATTCAAATAGAATTCATCATAAGATAAAGAAGATTCTCACTCCGTAAACAAAGTAGCAACATTGATCACGTTCGTTAATTCTAATCATGTGCAGTAATTAATTACGCAATCGAAACATTATGAATCACCCAAATTTATAGCTAAACCCCAAAAATTGCATCATACATTGTGCATCTTTTTTCCGAGCAATCGTAACACTATCGAATTTGGATCCAGCTTGGTGGAACATTATTTAGCATAATGGATATCTCAAATCTTTTAAATCGACAATATTTTTATTATGCAAAAAATTCAAATTTATTGTGGATAACAGTTTGTTGAAGAAATTGTTTCTTCAAAATGTAATGAATCTTTATTAAAGATTAAAAGAAATAATTTGAATTTTTATGTACAGTACGCATATGCACATATCTACTAAATTCTGAAATTCTGAATTAAATTACGGAATTCGTATCTCAAATAATAAAGACCGTGACACGAAGTATCATAAATACTGTAACAATTGTTTTTCAGTGATAATGTGAAATCATAAAATTCATTTTAAACTGATGTTGTATGATGTTCATTAAGTCTGATCGTCTAATATTAATTATCTCTTAAACCGTTTGAAAATCATGCCAAATTTGGCCTAAATTTTACTATAAAAACACTTCTGATCTATTTTTT